ACAAAACTGCCGTCGTGTAGGGCTCCGCAGGGCAGGCCTCGCTCCGTTTCCTTCATTCATCCAGTGAATTTTTTTACCAAGTTCCAATTCTGTATGGGAGATGGGAGAGGTAAGCGGACCCAGGATCACCCCCAATTCTCAGTCCAAAAGAAGAGGTAGATCATACACAGGAGAACCAGCAAAGGAGTCCACTTCAGCAGGAGGTAAATGCCAAGAAGAAACAACAAATGTGGCGTGTTAGGGAGTGAGCCGGTAGACTCAGCCGGGCAGGTCGGCCAGGCCACACCTTCGGGCGGGGCCCGACGTGGGACAGCAGTGGTGGACAAGCCCCGCAAGCAGTCCTGGGAAAAGAGGCCCACAGCAAGTGCAAAGATCCTGGGGCAGGAAGGAGCTTGGCGCGTTTGCTCGGCAGCGAGGAGTCTGGCGTAGTCACACGAGGGAAGGGGAGCGAAAGCTGGTGTCAGAGGAGCGGATGGGAGAAGGGGGCAGTTCGGGAAGAGTTTAGGCCACAGGAGGGAGCCCAGCTTCTGAGCACAATGGAAGCTGCACACGGTCTTACACAGTAAAGAGATATGATCTGTGTTTGCCTCAGGGAAGCTCGAGCTCTGTTTCCTTCCCTATTTGGCAGAAAGATGGGATACAAGCGCCCCATAAATCTTAGCCTTTAGGGACAGAGGGCTGAGGTGGGTCTGACAAGTTGTTTTCTCGTCTCCAGGGGTTGGTGGTGATTGCAATCTGCAGCCTCCAGCCCAAGCCCAAGCCCGTGGGCCCTGCATTGATTTCCTATTACTGTGCTAACAAATTGCCACCAACCGGGTGACTTAAAACAACAGAAATACATCCTCTCTGAGTTCCGGAGGCAGAAGTTCCAAGATCAAGGTGTCTGGGAGCTGTGCTGCAGGGGAGGCCCTTCCCTGCCCCTCCAGCCCCTGGCGCCCTCTGTGTCAGGGTCCTCTCCATCTCTCGTATCCACTTGTTACTGGATTGAGGCCCCAGTTCAGAACGATCTCACCTCAAGATCCCTAATGACATCTGCAAAGCCCTTGACTACAAATGAGATCACAGGTGCAGGTTCTGGGGGTTCAGGATGTGAACATATCTTTTAGGGTGGGGTTGGGCGCCGTCATTCAACCCACACATACCCTAAGAACTGCAGAACTGAGGGTGGTTACAGAAGGGAGAAAAGGGGTTCCCCTGACTACCTGCTGAGTGCTGGGTGCCAGCCCTGGTGTCGGGGGCATCTACGCCGGCATCTTACCGCGCCTCTGCTGTATCTCTCCACGGGGCCGCGGGGCTCAGCACGATCTCCGTCCCTGGGGCCCCCCGTGAAGCAGAGAGCGTGAAAGCCCCTGCATGTGTCCACCAGCACAGTGTCCTTCCTAGTGCCTCACTCCGCTCATAGCTTCTCTGAGGAACAAGGACAGGCATGGGGGGGTGGGCGCCACGAGGCGCTTAAGTCCCAGGAACACTGTGGCCTGCATGGTGCCAGCTCAGTGCAATCCAGGCGGAAGTGACCCCTGACGTCCAGCTAGGAGGCAGGGGGTGGGGGATACATGGATGTGTGGGGAGTGTGTGCGCTGTTGTGTGCCATGGCTGGTACTGAGCTCAAAGGAGGCAGGGAGGTATTTAGAAGGTGAGCCTGGGGGTTGGCGTGACCAGCTTCCAGTAAGAGCCAGCGTTTCTTGGGAATGCTCCAAGCCAAACAAAGCATAATGTTCCCTCCGTTTGCATAGTGGTTGCTTTCCCCAAAAGTCGCCATTGTATAAAGTAACCCTGCTGCCCACCCCCCCAAATTGTTTATATGTAAAACAGAGGCCCTGGCTTGGCTCAGATAGCTCATAAACTGGCTTGTACTGCCCACCCCCGCATGCCCCCGTGGGACTGGGGACCCAGGATTGTCCTTGAGCAGGACCGCCCCTGCCCACCGGGATCCCCAGGGAGTCCAGCATGCTCCGGGTCGCGGTTCCCCTGGGGGCCCACACAGCAGCTTCCCGGCGGTGTCCCCGCATCGGGGCACCGGCGACTGGACAGCGGCAGCCTCTCACCGGCTCTTTGCTTGCAGGCTCCATGCAGGTGATGAACAAGACGCGGCGCATCATGGAGCGGGGCGGGGCGCACTTCCTCAATGCCTTCGTGACCACGCCCATGTGCTGCCCCTCCCGCTCCTCCATCCTCACGGGCAAGTACGTCCACAACCACAACACCTACACCAACAATGAGAACTGCTCCTCGCCCTCCTGGCAAGCGCAGCACGAGAGCCGCACCTTCGCCGTGTACCTTAACAGCACGGGCTACCGGACAGGTAAGGAGGGGCAGCGCGGCCCCTGCACCGCCCCGCAGCATGGCTGCAGGTGGTGTGTGCTCAGCGTTTGTTTAAAAGGTTGCGTTCGTTTCTCTCTGTAGAATGTGTGGCGAAGGGGTTGGAGTCTTTAACAAGTGAGTTGACGTGCGATGAAATAGAGTCCGAAGGGGTTGGAGTCTTTAACAAGTGAGTTGACGTGCGATGAAATAGAGTCCGAAGGGGTTGGAGTCTTTAACAAGTGAGTTGACGTGCGATGAAATAGAGTCCGAAGGGGTTGGAGTCTTTAACAAGTGAGTTGACGTGCGATGAAATAGAGTCCGAAGGGGTTGGAGTCTTTAACAAGTGAGTTGACGTGCGATGAAATAGAGTCCGAAGGGTTGGAGTCTTTAACAAGTGAGTTGATGTGCGATGAAATAGAGTCCTCAGAGGCCGGGTCAGTTGTTCTCAGAGCTAACTTTGTTCCCTGAGACAGATATTTTATTGACTTCAAGCTAGTCGCATGGAAGAAGGTTCCGGAAGGCCATGACATGGTCATGGGGGATGACAGCTGGGGTGGAGACCAGAGAGTCGTGTACGCGTTGTCTGTGTGGCCACAGAAGCTGGCTTGGCCATGGGCTCTCCACAGTGCCCCCTTCGCCCCCACACCTCCCACCGAGGGGCTGGCGGGGCTGTGTTTAGGGGGAGCTCCCCAGGGCTTCTGAATCTCTTTATCTTGCAGCTGGTATTTTGGTGGGTTCTGAAGGCTCACCCGCCAGGGCGGTGACCTGGGGCAAAGGCACAATCTCAGTACAGTCACTTACTTCCAGCACCATTGCAAAATCTTCCAAGCGCAATTAATTTAATTTGCTTTGATTAAGACAAATAAATACTCCCCACCTTGGGTAAGGAGCCAAGGAGGTTGTGAAATCAGATCTTGAAGATTGGGTGTGGTGACTCAGAGAAGTGCTCCCAGGTGACAAGGGGCTTGTTTGGGTCACAGGGACAGGAGGGATGGATGGTTGAAAGTGCCTGAAACGGCCCTCTGGGTGTCCACCTCCCCTCAGGTCCGCGGGGTGACCGGCTATGGTACACTGGGGCCGGAGCAGGCCAATGTGGGGGTGCAGACTCATTCCATGACCAGAATCGCCCAGAAAGTGGCTTCCACTGAGAGGACTAAGAAGACCCCAATTCTATACAAGTAACTGGGCTGGCCCCAGTCTCTGTAGAAAGTCGCAAGTGTCAGAACTCACCTGACCTCTGATGGCAGAGGAAGGACAGGAGGGGCCTGCAGCGGGGTGATGGTGCCCGTGGGAGTCTCGTCCGCCAGTCGCTCCAGGTGGTTCTAGCCACTCATGCTCAGGACTGCCCGCTGTTAAAAATGTCTAACCCTGAAATTTTATCTGAAATCTCCTGGTTTTAAAGATTTGGCAAAGCTGTATTTAAAAAAATATACATGGTGAGCCAAATTGTCTGAGGGGGCTCACAAGCCCCATTACAACCTCTGACTAAAAGTTCTGTACAGAAGCCTTGAGGGAGACCAGAGGACCTTCGGTAAAGACCCTAAAGGTGTTCTCGTCAACCCCCTTCACTTGCCAGCCAGGGCAACGGCAACCCAGAAAAGATATTTTCCAGGACCCCAAAGTGGGTGCCTATGGCATAATTGGCATGGAAACCAAGTCCTCAGGGGTGGTGGGGACTGTGGAGGTTGCATCTGATGAATGGAGAGGAAACACGTGTCCTGCCAAAGCCTGGTGTTGCCGAATCATGCGGCCCCTACAAGAAAAAGAACCACCTCAGAAATAAACATTCTTCAAAATGGATTTCCCGGTCTTTATTGTTGCATTTACACAATCCACCAATAAAGCTGTGTCGCTGAAGAATTGCTTCCTCCCAACTGTGCTTCGTTATTACACCCTCGATGAAGACCACAAGCATAATGTCAGACGTGACTCGGCACACAAAGGAGATTTACATTTTCTGTAAAACTCACCGAGATATGATTCATGGTGTTTAGAACACCCCTCTCTGCAAGGAACTGCCTCCAAACCCCACTTGCAGAACTCGGCGCCCGAAAACGTCTCTTTACTCCAAACCGGTGTGCAGCTTTCTCCCAATTAGACAGCAAGAGCTGTGCGCTTTCACTTTCTGCCATGGTGGCCAAGAAGCTCAGATTTGAGTTTTCTATTAAGTTGCTGTTTAGAGCAAAAGCATCATAAATACCATGTGTGAGATCAGTTGTGCTGGCCATTGTCCATTGATGGGGAATAATGGCCAAAAACTCATGAGTTCAAAATGCTTTTGGTCTGACTTGTTGAGCCCCAGCATCGGCATGATGGCCGACGTCACAGCCCTCGCTGTCTGCAGGTACCTTGAAACCTGCGATCTTGGGAGTGTCTAGGAAAGCTGGTTGAGTTAGATTTAAGTGTGTGAGAAACCCAAGGTAGCAGTTACTGTTCTCTCAGTTAAAAGTCCATGCTGTTTTCATGAGTTGGCCAGACCCTCAAATACTTTCTACCTCTCCTTCCTTCCCATTGGTGGGAAACAAGTGACATGAGAACTCAGGCCTGCAGAGGCATCTAGGAGATAGTCTTTATTCTGGATGACCAGTTTCCCAGCTAAAAAATCTTTTACTGGAGGATAAGAACAAAGTGAATCCTCAGGGGAAGATAAAATCTCAACCACAGGGATCGTTCTCCACTCTATTCCTGTTGAGTGGAGAAAGTCAGCCTGCGCGATGGAGGATTAAAACACACACATTCCTCCCATGAGCCGGGGGCCAACATTTCACATAGACAGTGCTTTTATGTGCTTATTTTGGGTATTTGATCTTGAAATTACGACATTTAGGTTATAACTGTGGCTCACAGGTTGATCCTTTAAGTGAAGGAAGTGCTAATGTGTCAGATGGTGCGAGGTGTAGTCAGACAAATTTAAGTAATAGTGCAAGGAGATGTTCTTTCGTAGACTTCAGCATAGCAAAACCATCGAGGGTCATTGTTGCCAAGGTGTCTGAGGATTTGATCAGTTTACCTTGAGAATCCGTCATAGTCCATTGACATCCAAATCTGCCCACGTGAGTGTTTGTTCCTTATCGTCGTGTTCAGGGATCTCTTCTCTTCCCTCACGGACCATATTCTTGTTTGTCGTCGGATTTGCATGTGCTTGGAGCTGGCCTCTGGCGTCACTTTTAATTAATTTGACAAAACCTTGCATCTTTTACATGGTTTGCAATTTCATTTTGTAATCATCTGGCTTTGTGTTACCCATGTTTGCAATAGAGATTGACAAAGGATGAAGTCGGCGTTGCTAAGTTTAAGCAGGATAAATAGCAGTTTGCTCACGGCTATTTCTGTGTGTTGGCTCCCTCTCACGTTGGGGATGTGGGTCTCCATATAAATACCCTGGAAAGAATAAATCACACCCTCAGTTTTTACAGAGCTCACAGTCATCTTTTAGAACACGTCAGCTCCCCGACTGCACCCACTTGTATACCCGTGAGCCCGAGCTGGGTGGCGTTTTTAGAAGAGCTGCCCCCAGCTCTTTGCAAAGCACTTGAGGGTTCATCTCGAAGCTCGGCCACTTTCTAGCTGAACGAATGTGCACGAGTCCTGTAACATTGACGTCTTGGCCACCTTGACCGAGGATAATAACGTTCCACAGCTCGCAGGGTGTTGAGAAGATTAAACATGTTAGAACAGTGAGTGTAGGAAGCACTTAAGAAACGTAAATGATGTGGTTCAGGAAAATGGTGATAAGGTGCACAAGTCCGACAGGGTCACAGCAGCCTGCCCGGCCAGCGTCCCCGTGAGTGTCACAGTATCGAGTCAGAGGTGAGAATAAGTCGCGTACGTGGGGCCAGCCATGGCAGCCCTTGCCCAGCCTCCCTGGTCATGCGCAGTGCAAATAAATGGAGCCAACAGTGCACTTTCCCGGCTCGCCTTTGCCTGAGCAAGTCCTCAGAGGTCCGGTCAAACCACATAGCGGGTAGCAGTGAGGACGGCCACCTCCTTCATCCCTGGCGCTGCCTTCTCCCAGATGCCATCGCAGTGAGTGTCTCTGATTGCCCCAGCCTGCCAGCCCCGAGCCGGTGCGCGTGGGGAGCAGCGGGAGGCGGCCCTGGGTGACACTGGGAGCTGGTTCTCGGAGCAGCAGCCCGAGTCTGTGCCCGCATCGCCTGGAGCCCACGTAGACATTTAGGGCTGTGGGTAGGAGGAAGAGGAGACGTGCCACGGTGGCATTTTACTGCTTGTGGGCTGGGGTGGGGGCCAGTGCTCTCTGTGCCCTTTCTCATGTATGAGACCTGAGTGTCCCTTCTCTCCCCATTGGGGTCACGCCGCTTGCTTTCCCCGTGGCCCTGAGGTTGCTGCCCTGCCCGGCTTCCGCCACCTGCTGTGGATGTTTGTGGAAATGGGAGCCTTGGTCATGCACCTTCTGCCCCTCCTAATGTTATTCTAGAACATTCGAAGGCAAGGGCAAGCACACCCCTCAGGACAAGCCCAGGTTGTGCCAGGAACCCCCAAAAAGAGTCACTTTTGGATTTGGTCCTGAGCACCCCAGTCATTACCTTCATGCAGAGCTGAGCTTAGCTGTGGACCAGACTAGCTGACTGTGCCCTGGGGAGCCCCTCACTAATGGGGCGGGGGTCCGTGCCATGTGTCTGTCCTGGGTGGACACGTGGGGTGCTGCAGAGGGCTGTTGCACCTGTGCAGGGGGGCCTGAAGGTCCCTGGGCAGTTCGGCCTCCCAGGGGCAGCGTGTAAGGCAGGTGTGCGTACGTGTGACTGACTTCTTTCCTGAGGTGGTTTCAGGACTGCAAAGACGTGAGTTGAGGGAGGTGCTGCGGCTGCCTCTTTTTCTTTGGGGTCCCCCTCACCCCTCTCGATTTTGTTTTCTTCACGTGCCATGTTAGGTCCATCAGCCAACCCCTAGTCTCCCTCCAGAAGGCTCCAGAATCCACTCTGCTGCCACCACCTTCACCTGCTCTCGCCACAGCAGGTGGGGGGGTGGGGGGAGTCCAAGGTC